TGAACCCAACCAATGCTTTAAAGCATTTGACTAACCAATTAGAAGAAATAATTTTACAAATTAATCAATTAAAAAATTGTTTCAAGCATTTGTGTAGCATTACGTTGATCTGTTCCTTTATTTTAAAAGTGATATAACTACAAAAATTTTTTAAATTAAGAATATATACAATATATTATATTTATAACATCTAATTTTGACCGATTATTGGCGTTCTTTATATTTATGTATAGCATTTATATGGTCATACTTATCCATAAAAAAATTAGCTCATGCTTTCCAATAACTTCGCTTTTTAGCTTTCGGCAACTAGATCTGGTTTATTCTACAGTCTTAAAATATGACAATTTTTTTCGTGAACCTTGTAATCCGTTTGATATTTTTTATATCTCCGTGTTATAAAAACATAAAACATGAATGTAGAAATGCGAATAATATAATTAGAAATACGATACGTTTAAATAAATAAAGTGAAATAAATCCATGTGCTTATCAGATAACCATTGAATATTTCGTGTCATGACGTAAACCCTTTCATTTATTCGTATACCAAATTTTATTGTAAATCTCTTTTTTTCTTGTATCGGTATTATAATCACATCAAAATACAAAACAATTTCATCTGTTATTATTATTATTATATTATTGTTGCTATTTTATATTTCAATTATTGTTATTTGATCTATCATTTTTTAAAACGTGACAGGGATTTGTATAATAGTTTTGATTTTTATACACGTATTTATTACAAGAAAACAAATGCAAAACACGTATTTCACTAAAACGTAAAATTAAATTCTACTTCAGATTTATTAATATTCGAACACCGAATAATTAATTTATCAAATCATTTAATTAAATCCAGATGATTTACGAATGTAAATTATAAAATTTTATCAATTAATTTCTAATGCTCGAATATAAGTGCTATCTACAATGAGATTTTAAGGCATAAATCTTCAAACACAATAGATATAGTAAGCTGTTATACCCGTATTCATAATCAGACCTTGTACTTAAGGCTTCTTTAAATTTATCTTTAGATGATCAGTAGCCAATAAAATAATTCATAGAGCATCTGAAGATAAATTTAAGGATGCCTTAAATATAAGGCCTGACTATAAATACAGGCCTTAGTCAATCATAATTGCAGATTATTCTTCTTATATTCGATTGTGATTGGTCAATATCTTACGATATAAAACTTAATATACCTATTATGTTTCGGGATTTTAGCAGCGTCTACAATGAGATTTTAAGGAGTAAAACTTAAACTTTAAGCTATAAACTTTAAGCTATAAGAAATTGACCAATCATAGTCGATTATTCTCCTCTCACATTCGACCATAATATCAATTACTTACGGCTTAAGGATACTATTACATTTGTCGTATGATAAAAATTTTAGGTTTATTGGCTATAAGCTAGAGAGATCCAACAACTTCTTTTTTATGTAGCCAATCAATCAATCAATCAATCAATCAATCAAGCTAAATAGGCTTGTGTGTGTGTGTGTGTGTGTGTGTGTGTGTGTGGGAATCACCAATCCATGAATCAAACCAAGTAGACTTGAAATGCTTTGTCTTCAGCTTTGTCGTATGACAAATGTAATACCAGCTTAAGGCTTAAGTCTCATCTACAATAGTCGTGCAAACTGTCGCAGGTCGCGAACTTGTTGTGACAGCCAATCTAAAACGTTAATTTTAATATTTGACGCATTTGATTGGTTTTCGTAACAAGCTGTGATCTATACGACACAGACTGTGCGACTATTGTAGATAAGATCTTAAAGTTTACACGGAAAGGGTGCTGTTTTATTTACTGAAGTATTTAAAAATTTAGCTAGATACAAATTTCTCTCTCTCTCTCTTTCTCTCCCTCTGAAAATAATAATCTAAAAATTTATTGAATCATCAAAATAATTATGTAAGACGCTGAAATTGATTGCTAGATTATCAAAGCTTTTTTCTCTGTACTACTCATCATGCTTGAGATTCTTTATACGTAATGATTTTGATAATTCAACAAAATTGTTTTCAAATCTCTATTTAGCTACATTTTATATACAGTTTAATTTTTTTATATTTAGCTCATCGCCGGGCGGCGCGCGCGAGCTATTTGTTTATTTTCCATTGTCATACCATTTTTGTTCAGACTCTTGTAAAAAATCTCAGTAATGATTTTAAATCATTTATGCACACATTTTTTCCATAGATTATACATTTTCACCATCCCAGGACAATCGAAACACGTTCATATTTAACTAATCTACGTAACATCAATTCTTTATTTATTTACCCTAATCTCCGGAAAAACGGCCTAAGTACTCGTAGAATTGAGCCAATCCCCTCAATTATAGAATTGATTCTTTTTCAAAACAAAAAAGTTTAACATAAAATGTGATATACTAATGAATTAATTTACGCAAATACTTTTTCAATCCAAATGATATAAATTTTATTTTTTCAATAAAAACAACAGATTTAATGTGTGATAATAATACACTTAATTAGGAATGCGAGGAACACAGAGAATGTTCAATGTATATTTTAAAGTATACTAAATACTTCATCCGTTAGGACTTGTATACAGCATACGACGTACGTACCTACTATCTATGTATACGAAGTCATCGCGCTATCAACGTGTCATGAGTTAGTCGTTACAGAATGCAAGTGGCGCGCAGTCCTTTTATTATGATAAACAAGTGCGAAGTTCAGCAGCGTTATAACGAAAACAAAACTTATGAATTACAAAAACTTAAAAATTATACAGAATAAACTTGCAAGAGTTTCCCAAACTATTTCATGTGCTTTTTAGACCCCTGTCGGCTAATACGATGTAAGCAAATGGTGCTATTGGCATCAATTTATAACGGTCCTCTCCCTTGGAATAGTACATCAACCTTTATTCAAGAGGTTCTTACGCCGAGTTTTATCAAAAGAATATGGCGATGATTCAATAACTGAGACAGGCACAAATTATTAATGCTTTAATATCAATCTTTTAATATTTCAATTTTTGTCTGACGATATATATATAATATATACATAAGTACTCAACATACAAAAATAATAGTCAGCACGTACGTACAATCTTAAAATTACACAATGTTCTGAAGACGAAGCCGGGTAAATTAGCACTAATTGTAAGTAATTCTTTATTACGATTGTTCTATACATTTAGTTTTTACGTTCACTCGCTGTCAAGCATCATTTCAACCTTGTTGCTCAACATATATTAAACAAGCACAAATAATGCTGTAAGCACAAAGTCGCAGAACGTGATGGCGCAAACAGCGCTGTAATACGTAGCTTTAAGGTAATACTCTCGCGATGCGATCCAAAAGTTAGGTCCCCTCAAGCGCGCAGTAACGATACTCTCACTTCCGATTTCCACTGTCGCTAGTGAGAGAGAATTTTTGATTGCGTTTGTTCATGGACGCAAGCGGAAAAAATAAGTACAGATAAATGCAGTCTAACGCATTTTATTACTATCTCCCTTCGATTTATATGACGGATTGACGAATGTTTACGAAAATTGAATTCTTTTCGCGACTCTTTTCCAAACTAAACGGTAAAAAATTATATGACTTTCCTTTCTCAACATCCGTTTCATGTTCCTCTCACGAATGTTCATTTTTTATTAATATTTCACTGTTTAGGTCTTACAAAAACAAACGCGACATTTTCATGAGCTTTCAATGGACGTCACGTATAAAAAGTGCAGCTTTTAATAGCTTACACCTTAGTACTGAAACGTCAGTCTCATTATACCATAATTGCACTAGTATGTCAACATATTTTCTACTACAATTTCTAGTCTCAATTTCAAGAAATTTTGATTGTATTCAATTCGCGAGTGTATTACATTAAATCCAGCAAAGACACAAAGGTAAGAACATACACACACACACACCAAAATCGTATTAAAATTATTTAAAGTATTAAACAGTGGCAGCCCATTGGAGTGTTGCGCCTTTTGAACGCATTATCAAGTTTACACGTCAGTGCTCCTGTGTCTGACAGTGTTCAATTGTATCCCAAAGAAAAACTATTACTACTGGAAAACTCCCATCTATACGTAAATATTACATCTCTTAAAATATTACATCTTTATTCTCCACTTTTTTCATCACTGATTTGTCATTATTACTAAGAGTAGCTATAACTAGATGCTAATTGAATTCGATTTATTCCATTGTCAGTCGCGGTTTGTTCTTTACTATGATATCACCTTTGTGATTCTAAAAAATAAATAATCTTTTATTAATGTGTTGTAGTATGTTACAATATTATACTAAAATATGATTACAAGTATATAACAAAAATAGGAAAAGAACTGTGAATCCACTAATGGATTAAAACATTTTATCATAAATGACCTTATTTCGCATGTGATTATAAAGTCCTTTCGATTGCTTGTAGTCCTTGCCACAGACTGGACACACAAACTGCCTTTTATCGCTATGTATAAATCTGTGAACGTCTCGGTCCCATTTATTACAAAAAGCTTTGCCGCAAATCTAAAATGCAGCATATTTATAAATACAGAAGTGTAAATATGAAAAAAGGGACAACCAAATGAAAAATAATTGACAAAAACAATAACTATAATTTTAAAGCACATACCTTGCAGACATGTGGTTTATTGCCTGTATGTGTCCTCTTGTGCCTTTTTAGATCGCTTTTTGTACTAAAAAATGAGCATAGCAATAATAACTGTTTACCAATAAAACTAAGCAATAATAATCATACTAATAAAACTAAGCATAGTCATAGATTTATCAAATAATTCCTATAACTTTTATTACTAACGTATATGATTTATAACATAAGTCGCATTGATATGGATGAGTTTCATTTCTTTCATTTGCATGAGTTCTTTCATGCCTATTAAGAGCAAGTTTAGTCGCATACGTTTTACCACAATGTCCGCATCTGTGAGGATTAACTTCAGTATGAATGTCTGTATTACTTCTTCTCAAAGCTTCCGAGGAAGTACAGGGCTCATCTTTATTATTAAAGAAGATGATTGTTATAAAATAAATGTGAGAATGGTAACATAAAATGGATAATTATTAAAATAATACAAAATTATCACAAAAAAAATTTAAATATTAATTATGAAATATATAAATCTTACTGTGCCGCTGTACATATTCTCTTGTGGCACAACGCATTACTTCACTTAGAGGCACATTTTGCGAAAAAGCTTCAAGTATCATTTTTTTCATCTCTGAAATTCTTTATTATTTTTCAATTAATCTTATTTTAATGTTCCTTAAACTCTTTCGTTCTCGTAACCTAAACTTTTTTGAATGTGTTCACTTTCAAATTTATTTATCTAAAACCGTAAGAAAATATTATTTTTTACCACTTTAAATATATAAATTATTTATCAAGAACATTGTGTTACGGAAGATTGCCGTTAACGTAATTATTTCATGCCATTAAACGATCAAAAATACTTTTTGCAAAGTAATAGGAGAATACATTGTTATAACGATGTCTCTCTAAAGGCCAATGTATCATTGTCTTGGATACAGAATTATAAAAGATGCGTGTATCTTTACATGCGAGTAGTGGATACTAAATTTCACGCTTTGACGATAAGAATTGTATGAAATCTTTGTAGAAATCTGCCATTATCTTTTAGTGCATTTTACTGTTAAATTGTTGTATTTTATCGTTAATGATACTCTATATGTAATCAGGAGCGTTTATTCTAATACATGAATGTTTCGTAATTTTTTCTTATTTATATAAATGAAATATTAAATAAAATATAAAATTAAAAACATGATAGATTGAAAACAGTGAAAATATTATAGTTAACATAATTCAATCTGAGTACAAATTGAAACATGTAAATAAGAAACGGTCATCAAGGTTAAAAGCAACATCTCATATAAAATATTAATAGACATGAAAAATGAAATATTAAGAAAAACCGTATAATTGCTTGTCATGTATTAAAATCTGATAAACAGAATTAGTGAGAATTCAATGAGCAGTAGCCAAAATGAATTTTTCTTTCGACGGTGAGAACGGATTGATTTTGAACAATAAAAGTATAACAAACAGATAGCTATTACTAAAAATTGAATTTCAAAATCTTAGCTGACAACTAGCCACGTCAAAATCTTAAGAACGACTGATCCAAGGTCTCTACATATGTATACATTTATACGTATATGTATGGCTACGTTCGGAAATATCATTCGGTTGTCCCTGTGTCCTAGCTTTGTCAAACATTGGATGAACAACAACAATATAAAATGAGTCACGGGGACACTCGGGTAATGCTTCCGAACGCAGCCCTATACATATTATGGTTGAATAGGGACGGACTTAGTTAATGCGTGGCCAAGTGCAAAAAAAATGCATGGCAGATTCTAGAAACCCAAAAATAATCATTTCAACAAAAATAAAAACAAACATCGTTCAATAAGAATAATAATAACAATTTAAACATACTTTGAAAACATAAAAGTATTTTCAAGACCGCATAGGTGGTATACACTACTATATGACCTTTAGGCAGTTGAGCTGGATCTTACAAATAATGCTTAGATCTTCGGTGTGAATTTATATATTAATACATGTCCTATTCTCTCTGCAAATGCGTCGATACATATTCGGTCTTAATTCGCATTTATTAACAAAACCAGTGTAACAATATCACAATTAAATAAACTAACAATTTAAATAATATTGATGCAATTGTAAAAAATCAAATCAAGTGTATATTCAAGTAAGATGCATGAATCAATTTCCTATAGAAATTTTATTATAATTTCATTGTATTTTTTACTGGTATGTTAAGTATAATTAAATCTACATTAATTACAACCTTATAAGGTAGTGTAATAATATAATAAAATAATGAACATTAAGACTTCTTATTAATACTTTTTATTTTTCTTTCCTGAACAAAGTTTTTCGAGAAAATTATAAGACCTCTATTCTGTAACTTTTAACAATAGTGTCGGTATCGTCATATTGTCGTTGTGCAACATTTTAATCATGTACACGCAAAAAATTATTTTGCTGATGGAGCTAGATTTCTAGGTGTTACAACCATAAAATATCGCTATTTTTTGTATCTGCTAAAATATTGTCTGCCACATAGAATTTATAGCAGCATCATTCTAGTAATCCCTTTTAGAAAATTTAGATCTCACGCACATTGCCAAATATGAATAACTATACTGCAATATGAGTTTTGATAGTGTAGTTAGAACTATCTTTATACGAAATATAGCTGCCGATTATAACTGTGGCATCAAGATAATATGACAAGATAATTTAGATGTTACAACTAACTTTATTAGCTGTGTCTACATATAGCCTAATACGCTGAAGCGTATTGCTCGAGATTCCACGTTTTTAATAAATTTTTAGTTCATGACGACAATTATGTTATTTGGCATTGTATGAAACGTTGCACAACACACAACAAAAGACTATTTCACTCAAAAAAGTGATCTTGCAGTTATAGCGAAAATTATCTAAATACGAAAAATAGCTAAAACAGATAAATTTCTAGCAAATTCTACGATATTGGATATGTATTGCATCTAATCATAGGTGACAGAGATAGAATTTAGATTTGTGCTATAAATTCTATGCGTATGATACATAATTTTCTATCAGATACAAAAAATAGCTATAATTCTAATTGGAGCAGCAAAATATTTTTTTGTGTGTTCGCAACATAAACACTTTTTTAGCTACTGAATCGGATGCACACGTATTGCTGTCAATATGGCTTCTGCACTGTGCACTGTGCACATAGAATATTGCAACGAACGCCGTTACGCCGCGCGACAGAGTATAGTACGTTCGTCCCGCCTGCACAAAAAAATTATAAACTTATGCCGGCACAAAAGATTATAAATTTATGCCCGACACAATAAGCTATATCCGAAATTTGAAGTAGTATTTTCGTGAATGCGCTCACAAGAGTTGCCGTTTGCAAATTCCGTCATGCATTGCGCTGGTGTGCCAAAGGCATTACACCATGACAGTTTTTAAAAGATCTAAACGAATATAGGTACATTACACAAACTATATTAGGTGTAAATATCATATATTATATATTCATTTGCCTCCCGTTGCTAGTTTTTTATATGTATTATAGTCGAACTTTCTAACAAGTATGATTAGTCTTAACATGAATAGATGCCACAGATAAATTTTCTTTCTACATTTCATAAACTGTTCAGATATAAATTCTGTCTCTGACATCTATACCGATTAGATGCAAAATTTATGCAATATCGCAATGCTTGCTAATCGTTTATTTATTTTAACTAATTTTTCGTGCCTAGATAGTTTTCGCTACAACTGCAAGATCATTTTTTTGAGTGTGTAATAAAAAAAGCATTTGAGATTAATAATAATAAATTTTGTGTAAGTGTCCCGACACTGGGACGTTTACCTTACTCGTCCACAGTTCAACTTCCACTACATACGGCGCGGCGGCCACCAGACGTGTTCACGGCTGCAAACGAACGTTGAAGGATACTTTATATGCATATATTGAAAACAGTGAATTTGTGTTGTTTATCGTAGTACATTATGGTAATTGTTGAGTTTAGGGGCCTCACCTCCGATCTTAATAAAATTAGTCTCATTCAACGCGTTTTTACAATGGACGAATCTGGCAAAAAAATTGTCGCTCTGTGCTGTGAACTGAGATATTAATTGTTAAAGTTGACAGTTAGATATTCAGGTTAGGAAATTTGTCACATCAATGGCATAGGGCATAGAGGGTTATACAAATTCTCTGCTTTAAAAACACAAATTCTCTGCTTTAAAAACAAATTCTCTGCTTTAAAATACAAATTCTTTGCTTTGATACACAAATTCACTGCATTACAAACACAAATTCATTGCTAATGCAAAGAAATTGTTTACTTAAAACAATGAATTTTTAAAGCAGTGAATTTGTGAAATTAAAGATTACATAGAGCTGTATCGAGTCAGGATGACAGATGTTTTAAGCTCTAAAGTCTTGAACTTTAACGCTTAATAACTCGATTCAAAAGGCTGACCGCCGCGTTTTTTTGTCAGATTTTTTCGTTTTGAGTGAAAACGCGTTGAATAAGTACATTTTATTAAGATTCTAGTGGGGGGGGGAGGGGGAATCGTATTCTAAATAATTACCACTTTTTTAAAGCAAAGAATTTTTTTTAAAGCAGAAAATTTGTTTTTGAAACCGAGAATTTGTGTAATTGAAGCAAAAAATCTTCACTTACATGGTCTCATGTTCCTCAATATCACCGATGTGACAGATTTCCTAACCTGAATATTTGTCAACTTTAATAATTAATATCTCGGTTCGTGGATAGAGTGACACTTTTTTTGCCACATTCGTTTATTTTATGCAAAAACGCGTCGAATGAAGCTAATTTTATCAAGATCGGAGGTGAGGCCCCTAAACTTAACAATTACCTACATCATCTACATTATTTAGTAGCGTTTACAATCGTTCTTGACTATTGCGTAATCAGCGTTAATTCACGTCGTTATTTCACTCGATAAAACGAAAAAAATTCGATAAAACGAAAAAAATTTAAATTAGATATAGTAAGAAATGATAAAAAATTCATCACAATCACCTCTAAAAGGACACGGGAAGGAATGCTACGCATTCAGTAGGTGTCCTTCTAGTAGGGAACGTGACAAATTTTTTTACGTCGACGCTTCGATGAAACGATGACGTAAATTAATTTGTGTAACATTAAAGCGTGTTTTTGATGTAATAAAGCTTAAAAATCCACGATGTACCACTACTGACTCACTCTCGGTGTCAATACAACATCATGGATTTTTAAGCTTTATTACATTAAGCAGTCGCTGGATCTTACATTTGAAAGTAGCGGCAACAAATCATCTGCCATTATGTGAGGCACGGATGGAATCGAACCCTGATCCACGGATTGTTAGTCGAGCACTGAGCCATTCGACGCCTTCGAAGCAGGATTGCGTGGTTTCGCTCTTTTCTCGAAGTTTCTCAAGATCATGGAGTTCGCTTCTCCACGAACCAGTATCGAGAATGTTGAAAATCGTCGTACACATTGGGTTTTTAATTTTTAACACGCATAGTCGTGAGTGATTGTGTCCACTGCGTGATTGTTGCGTCGCGTCGGATAGGCTGCTTTCCCGCGCGATCGAAAACCATGAAAATCCTACTCGTTTCGGAGTATTCGTTTCGTGTTGATTACAC